AGCATTAAAAGTCTTGCAGTACATGTGTATATTATATCAACAAGTTGACCACAGAAGGTGTTTTTCTTCTCTTCCTTTCTTCTTGCAGGTGTTGGGAGAGTCTCTTTTTGTAGTGCTGCTTCTCATTTGCTTACTCTGTGGTTGCCTAATTCACTATGTGTGTTACTAATGCTTCCTCAGCAGCAATATAAAACTCTTCTTTCACAGTAAAGGCTTTTGTCACCAGGCAATTGGCATGGCCATGCAATTGTTTTAGGGAACTGACACATTAAAAAAATAAAAAATAAAAACAAGTGGGAAAAATGGCGGGGGTTTGGTTGGATCAGTTTTCCAGTCCACCTTCCCGATGGCTGGATGGGCAGTTGTGGTACAGCTGTTGAGATGGAGGCAGAATGTAGGAAGGGGTTATTTGGGGGTGGCTGTTGAATCCCATTTCTTTCATGAAATAAATTGCATGAAATTGCAGTCAAATATTTCTCCTCAGTTCCTCGGGGTATGTTTCCTGTGCTGTTTTAAAGGGACCTAATTATTGCACAGAGGATGTCTTTGTCTAACTTTTAGAACAGTAACAAAATCACTGCTGAAGGAATTTAGTAAAAACTACTTCGACTTCGGTTAGAGTCATTGCAAATTTATAAAAAAGGAAAACTATGAATCACTTATTGCTTCTTTTTCATTTTTTCCCAAAAAGTTACTTTCATTTGTGCTGTATAAATCAACTTCATTCAGGCATCTGTGTATTGTATTTAAGTGGCATGTGTTTAAAATATATTCAAAAACAAACATGTGAAGTTTATCTGTGTGCAAAACTTCTATTGGGAATGTGTGGATTGAAATTAAGTGAGAGATGTATTCCAAGAGTAGATAATTCCTGGTTTGTGTTGATAAATCAGCTGAAAGCCTGAACTTTAGCTAATAAATCTAGATTTAACTTGCAGCATGAAGGGGGGAAAAATCAGGTCACTTTATCTTATGGTCAGATTTTATTTGAAGCTGACTCATGTAATATATGTGCCTGTAATATACCTGATCAAGAAGCCTTAAATATCAGATTCTGAAATACACTCAGCATCATTTGTTATGACATCAGTTATCTGTACACTTGGGTAGAAATCACCTCACGAGAGAACTGCATGAAAACTAACTTTTGTTGAAAGATATTGGTGACAACTTATTTGTTTTGCAAGACTCAAACTTTTAATTTAGGGATTCTCTGCTCATGCTGTTCAGCTGCAGAAATCCTTTGACAAGGGCATGTTACCCTACTTCTGCAGCTGAGTTAGAGAATGACGTTAGAAAGAGAGAACTGTCTAATAAGTGAAATTAGGAAACCGTGTGCTTCAGCCTGCTTTGCTGGCTGGGTACAGTTCCTGTGCAAAATCCCTTTGCTGGGCAGAAATTTGGACTATAAATCAGTTTTGTGTCAGGAGCAGGCTCAGTGACCAGTCCCACAGTTAGAGCAGTGTTCAAGACATTTCAGTTCTTGAACAATTAAGTTCAATGTCTGGGCAGAACTTTCCTTGGAGAGATGTGTAATGAAA